TGGGGAAATGGGGGGGAGGAGCAGGCGGGTCTGCGCTGGGGGTCTCCGGTGCCTTGGGCATGCAGCCTGCAAGGGCTGGCTAAATTACTGTGAATGATAATAGTTGATATCGTAAGGGACAGCTGAATTATTGCGAATAACAATAGTTGATAACATAAGGGGCAGATGAATTATTGTGAATAACAATAGTTAGTATCATTAGATAGCTCTTTCAAGGGTGGTCCTGCCAAAGGAATGCCAGCTCTCATCCTTTTTTCCCTCTTTTTCTTTTTTCCTTTTTTTTTTTTTCTTTTCTCCTATTCCTACCTCCATGTTTTCAGAGTTCTCTCAGCTCCAGATGGAAACTGCAATGTTTTTTGAGCTGCTGACTGCAGTAAGGGTTGAACGTTTCTGTCCCTAGCATAACTTGCTCAACATAGGTGAAGAGTTTGTGTCTTGAAGAAGTCTTTTTCTTCCCTTCCTGAGGAAAGGACCTTCAAAGGGGGAACTACCCTTGTGTCCTATTAGCTGCCAAGTAGTTCCTTTCCCTTGGATTTCAATAACCATGGGGCCATCAAAAAGAGAAGAGGAGGAGCAGAGCATAATCCTGATCAGCGATGATGAAGCTGAGAGCACGCTTGGGAATTCAGTTCTGTTAGTAGACCCATTGGGTACGTACTGTGCTCTTGTTGATGAAGTTCTGTAAAGAACTTTTGAAATCAGCTGAAGTAAAATGTTATGTGGCAGGCTTGAAACGTGTCTTTCTGCTGCTAGGAAAACAAAGTACTTCAAAAATAAATAAAACCAGGAGGAACTGCCGTTGTTACATCAATTTTAGGATTTCTTTGATGGTACTAATCACGTTAAAGGATGCTACTATTAGTTTCAGAATATTACAGACTTAGCTGAGACTGGGCCTTTTCAATGTCGATTGGATCCTTTTTGATTAAATTAGCTCTGTTTTGATAGTGCGTGGAAGTGTTTTGTCTCAGGCCGCTGTACCATTCTTATTGGCACCATATGAAATCGTAAGAATATTTGTGCCTTAAAGCGTTTTTAAAAAATAAATGGCAATAGCTGGTGGAATTTTAATGAAGTTGTAGTTACCTTTATACTGATTTACACTGCGTATTCTCTTTTCTACAGAGAAGTCTGCCCTGGAAGAGGAGAAATCTGAAGTTGTGGATGAGGAATGTGAACTGATGGTTACTTTCTGTAAACAAGCAAAAGTGATGCCTCATGCAAGATACGACTGTACAATCCACCCGTTCGAGTATGTTCAGTGAAGTGGAGGTTAATATGGGGGTTTCACTTTCCACATTTAGTCTGTCTTGTGAACTGGTTAGCTTTTTAACATCTGAAAGCAGAAATAGAGTTGGAGAAGCGTGTGACTTGTTTCGTAAATAACGTTCTGTTTTTCAACTCTGCAGGCGAACGGAATGTGATACATGCTCACCCCTTGGGAAAAATGCTGATATTTGTAATCAGTGCTACTGCTACATTTGTGATAAACTAGCTTCTGAGGTAAGAAGAGCTGTAATCGAGGAATGCACAACTTCGAGTAAACTAAATTACTCGATGGTCTTCTTAAAAGAAATCACTCTTAAGCACGCTAAAAGAATAAATGATACATGAAATTTGATTATTTTAACAGTTCCTCTCCTAAATGTTGATACCTGTCTGCTTCACAATGCTACTAAAAATGTGGTCACTGTCTGGGTTTATGTCTAGTAGTCCAGCCAGTTGCTGGAGTAGACATTCACTTGGTATAAGCAAATGTACCTCCTCTTTGCTTTAGTCACACAGTGTATTTCATGGAATCAAATGACTAAATCAGACCGCTTCTCACTGCCCTAGAGAAAGGTCAAACTTTTAGACTGTCCTAACCTAGAGTGAGGGAGTCGGCAAGTTGGCGGAATTGGGTGTGTGGGGTTTGTTTGTTTTGGGTTTTTCTTAAAATTCAGAAAACTTTGAACTGTGAGCAAAGTTGGGGTGAATGTGCAAAGACAGTGCTCTCTTACCAATTTACAGCGGGGAGGATCAGCCCTAAGTGTCTCTGTAAGGTATTTGGGAATGATGGTAAATTACTATGGGCTTTTTTTCTTCTTCTTTAAGCCATGATATGGAGTTAGTGCCATATTGGCCTCTTGCCCTGACTGTCAAAATACTTCACTGTGGCTTTGCTTAGCTGTGTAAAGGATGAAATGAATTGTAGTCCTTCACTCGGAGGAACTAACTTCTGATTTGCTCAACTGGAGGTGGGAGGGGGAACCAAAAAAAAAACCTTTCCCTGTTTTTCATGTTTTATGAAACAGTGCCAGAATTGGACAACCCCTTCCCTCTGTCACTGCAATGCACACAACAAAAGCAAATTCTGGAAGGACCAGCGTGACTTTGCCTTGGCTGGTGTTCTTGTAATGTTCAATTTGGAGCTCACAGATATAGACACAGACCTTCGGCATGGTGGTAAGCGTTACACTCTCGTACTGTCCTGAGAGACCTGTGGCTCACCGTGGCTACTCAGTCTGTGGCTTGATGGGTGGCTTGTCTGGTCCACAACTCTCCTTGTGAAGGCTTGGTGCATTTTTAAGGTAGCAGCTTACTGTTGCTGCTCTCTTTCTGGGCCACACTCAGACCAGACACAGGTCTGCAGGTCCAGTGTGTGTGCGCTTCCCTGCTATCCTCCCTCTGGAAGAAGCAACAAAGCTTTCCTGGCTAATAAGATTGGGTGCGAGTAACTTGCTAAATATTTGACGTGGGGCACTTGTGATCATTTTTCCATTTCTTTTCGTTTTGAAAAAATAAAAATAGAAAATTGCACTAACAGTTTCACATCTGTCTGCTCTCTTAGGAAGTCTTCTAATAAAATTTATCCAAGAACTTTCTGTGGAATATAATAAGTATCTGTCTGGAGAAAGAATGCCTCCCACACAACATGAATGCTTTTGCCTCCCAAAATTGCCACCTGGGCAATGCAATATCTGCAGATCACGCAACATGGAGGTTGTATACAAGTAAGTGACAACACAACTCTGCTACTAGCAGTACATCCTGGTCAGTGCATGTTTGATTTCCTTTAGTCAAGTGATAATCAGAATCATGGCACCTGACATAGCAGAAACATAGTTGAGAGAACTTACTTGGCCAGTGAGCTATTAAATTGCACTTGGATGTAGTTTAAACACCCCCTTAAATACATCTTAAATACCACTTTAAATACATCTCTTGTGCTATACTAAGACACTTGATAATATCCCTCATTATTATAACCTGGGAAAGCATGAAAGTAAAGCCTGTGTTTTTACTCATTTGTTTTTTAGGATGGGGTTCAGCTTTTACTCAATGGTATGTGACTTTAAAATGCTTAAAGTAATGGTTGTGCAAATACCTTTTCACTGTGTTATAGATGCTTTTCAAGGAAAGGCAAGTCAATTTTGCTCTCCAAGTGTAGAATGGTCATAATTGCTATTTGTTTACAAAGTACATCATTGCAGACACTTTATCTTATAGACTACTTAACTTCCTTAGGTATTCTGGAGTTTTTGCGCTGGTAACAAGATTTTTAAATCAGGCAGAAAGAGAGAGTCCTAAAGCTGCTGCTGTCATGTTTCTGGGAGCAGCTAAAGAGATAGCACTTCATAAAGACCCTGCTTTGTAAGTATCCAGTTCCACATCTAGCATGTAATCTTTGCTCCTCAAAGGGAGGAGGCTAAGTGAGAGAGTTCTGGTTTTCCATTTATTAAGAGTAAGGACAGTGTAAAGATCACAGCCCTGACTGCAGCACAGTGAGAGGAAAGTGAGTACACCTGAGGGAGAAATGAGATTGGTTACAGGGAGGGATTTTGGGGAAAGGGAAGGTTAAAGGTTGGATGAGAGAGGAAGAAGTTAAGTGGGATTGAGTCATGAGGAGGGGAAATGATCTCCAACAAGGGGAAGGAATTTGAGATGGGAACTGGGAGGAGGGAGGGTGACAGACAGCAGATGGTGGTGGGTGGGGTTAATTCCCCAGGAGAAGGTGCAGGGGCAGGGGAGCTTTCCTGAGTGGAGAGTGCACAAGCTGCACTGTGTGAAGAAACATCTGCTGCTGAAGTGGAAGGAAGGGAGGATGTGATGTTCCTTGGGTAATAAGTTTTAGACGCCTCTCATAAGTGTGCATAATGAATAAATAAAAAGAGAGTTTAAATACTCCAGTCTTTACTGCTTGTGCTTTTTATTTTCTTGTTTATATCCTGGCTGTTATGGTTGATTACTGTCCAGCTTGAGCAAGGTCGCAGAGCTTTGCTTTGCAAAACCTAGTATTTTGGGGCTTAAATTCAAGGCTTTTTATAAAGGAGAAGTAAACGTGGTCTGGGTTAGTTCGACAGGCCAGAAACAGCGGCTCCTCTGCAATTCTTTCTGAGGAACTGTCAAGGTTTGCAAGGAGCGGGCTGGATACGTTATTTGGGTAGGTCTCTCTTTGTACGCTTATTATGAGTCCCACAGCGTTCACTGCAGTTACATGGGATGTGGTTTGGCTCTCTTATGCGACGATGGTAACAGCCCTTCAGAGGCCCTGTAAAAGCAAAGACGTGCTCATGATGGTCTAATACAGCAGGCTGGAAGGTTTGGTACTGCCTTGTTCTGCTTGGGTCGGGGCGGGAGGTGTGCTTCAGTTGGTTAGGTACTGCTGTAAAACACTCTTAATTCTAGAATGTGCTTTACACTTTGAGCACTTGTTTTATCCGTTTGGAATAATTTTTATTAGCATGATAGCTCCCCATGCTTTTTAAGACAAAAGTGTTTTCTTAAACAGTTTAGTATAGAGAAGGGGAAAAGGCAGGAAAACAAGCCAAACATTAAATAGTGCTTTTTTTCCTCCCTTCTTAGAAGCTGGCAGAACCTTGGTCATACTGCTTCACTGAAGATTGCTGTCCCTTGTCTGTTACAAAGGTAAGACTTGTCTTACCATATGATGAGATGGCAATGGGATGGTTGCTGGCGGCAAACTTTCTGCCTGCATTTAAAATGACTTCTGTTTAAAGGCCTAAAGAAAAAAAGAATGCTTTAGCTCTTAAAAGGCAAAAGTAAGCTCGCACAGGTGTATAAGAACCCCTTATCAGGGAATGCGACCCCACTGTACTGTCTTAGGTATTGTTTGAGCGGAGCAGGAGTAGCCTGCCGCTGCCTGCAGATGCGTAGGGACAGGCAGAAGATGACAAACAATAACATGCACCAGTCAGCCTCATGAGCAGGGACTTCAGTGTGCTATCAGGTTCTACAGCTCTATGCTACAAATCAGGGGTTTTAGAAGCTCTGTTGAATATCAGTTCCTTTCTGTGAAGGACAAGGGTAATACCTGCCTTGTTTAGAGCCACATAAACATTCAAACCCTTCCTTGTTGCCTCAAAGGAGAATAACTCAATGGGGAACTCGAAGCCAAGAAGATGATTACTCTTTGACTGCAGTCTAGGAATGTTCTGTAAGGGCAGACCAGAAGGTGGTGTTAGGTAGCTACCTGTGGTTATTAAGCCAAAGAGTAAATAGTGTCTGTTAAAGATCAAAACAGCAGCCTTGTAAGTACTCCGCTGGGATGGAGTAGGCAGGGATGTAACATAGTCAAGTTCCCCCAGAGGCTGATGAATGAGGTCATCTAGCTCGCTTGGCTTAATTCATTTCTCATTTTAGCTTTATATTTCACCTTTAACCCGACATTCACTTGCAACAGAAGGTTAATGAATTAAGAATTAACTTTTTTTAGGAGCACTCAAAAACAATTATATATTCTCACCTCTTGCTTGGAACTAGTGACAGGTATAACCTAAATCCTATATCAGTTTTCATTTTAATTTGCTATTCTTGAATTTTTTAATTTCTTACTTTAAAAGAACAGGAAAAGGAACTTTCTGCCTCCCTCCCCCAATTTTAAAAGAGTAAACTCTTCTTTGTGTCAGTGTGTTATCTCCAGTTTTCAGTTAAGAATGGTTTCACCAGCTGTGAAGGTGCCAGGAGCTCAGGTTGATCCGTTGCTTATCAGGTTCATCATATGTTGCTGCAGTGTTTCTCGCATATACTCGCTGGGGATCTTTGTTTTAAAACACTTAAGACCATGGAATCTGGTTTCATTAGTGTTTAAAAATAATAACAAAGAACAATACTGTTATTCGCTACAAGTCTTAAAGCACAAATTTAAATACAGATCCAAACTGTCTGACATTTAACAAAAAAAAAAACCCAAACTTCTGTAGAACAGTTTCCCATAGAATTAAAAAAAATACAACTTAACAGTAATTCATGAGACTTTAAGAGGTTTTGATTTTTCTTTTTTTTTTCTTTTTTCTTTTCAAAACATAGGATCACAACACAACTTCAGAGGATGCTGGTGTTGTGTGACTTTCCAAAAAATTTGTATGAAAAGTTTGTTAATTTTTTTCAGTCCATCTCACTTCCTTGTCATTGTTTTGGCTTCTCAAATAGGTATGTTCTTTGGTTTTTTGTTTACAGAATATATTTTTATACAGTTGCCTGATCTGAAAACAGCTATATAGAGCAGTTCTTTCACTGACAGTGTTATGTGTGAGCATTTTATGGGAAGATTTCGGTATGAGCTGCTCTGTATTTGTCCTGTCCTTACAGGAAAAGCTGCTGTTTGACGCTATGGCTAAGTTGTTGTCCATATAGCTTTTTTCTTTCTTTTTTTGTTCCTTTCCCCCCTGCACCACCCCCCCACCCCCCCGCCCAAGAAGCAAGCTGTAAACCTCAAAATGTTTTATTGGTAAATCTTCACATTACTTAAGGGAAATAAATTGTGGTGTACAAACAAAATGTGGTTAAAAACAACTTTATTTTTGTACTTCCAGCTTGAATGTTGTGCCGTGGGACCATGTATTACTGACCACTGTTTTGAAAGGCCAGAACATCACTGGTCAAAGAACACAGAAAGGAAGAAAAGTATTCCTGTGGGAAACACTGCCTGTTATAGAGGCTCGAGTGGAGAAATTAGTAGACAAAAAGAAGTAAGACTGGTTTGGTCTTGTTTTGGATTTTTCATTTTATGAACTCAACTTTTCTGTGTTGCATGGTATGGACCGCAGTATAGTGTTTTCGTAACATCTGCAGTTTTGTATAACAGGGAAACATACAAAACAAAGGCGCATTTGAAGCTGTTCATGCCTGTTACTTCTTATCAACAAGGCCAGTAGCTTTCTGAAGTTTTTCAAAGCAGAAACAAGCCCTTTGAACACTTCAGGACCGGAAAAGAATGTTAAAGTGGACAATTTCTTTGTTTCTGTAAACCCAGTAGGTTTTAGGTGTTGATGTTTAAAACAAATTCTGTTCGTCAAAGGCTGACTAGGTGGAATACAGCAAAAAAAGAAAAAAAAAAAGTGCATTCTGGTCTCTGGGTCTTTAGAGGTCTGTATTTAAAAGAATACAGTCCACCTAAGGAATTAAATTGAAGGGCAACCTCCTGTTTTATTTTGCCAGGGTACAGAGATGATCTGTGGATAGCTTCTTGGAACTTATTTCCAACTGTCTATTTCTGCCAGTTGTATTTCTATCCTATTGTTTAATGTCTCTTGTGTGGGAAGATCTGCTGTTTTGCTTCATTAATTGTAGTTAATATTTGATTGACCTGTGTATAGCTCTGCACTTCCTTCCTCTTCCTACTCACTCTCTGTTTTTCTCCCCAGCTATAAAGAAGTTGTTCGCTACCTGAGAGCTGTGAAATGCAATGATACCAAAGGGTAAATGGCTTTTTTTCTTTTTTTTTAAATGGTTTCTTTGCCTTAAGACTGTGTCCCAGTCTGTGTTTCTTCAATGTGTAATAAACTGGCAGAATAAAAAACAGTAGGATTTTGGCAGCTGTTTGCTAAGTGAAAGTAATATTTTATTGCAACTAACTTCTGCCTTATTGGATGTAACTTATTAGTGGTCAAGCGTAACCAGATCTATACGTACGTATTGTAAAACTTGCATGTTAGTGAAAACAAAATATTCATGTCTTCCTTCTTTCCAGATTAAGAGACCTTCGAGATAAAATCCCATTCTATTTGTGTAAAACTGGAGACTTCCTCGATGCTGCGCATTCGCTGTTGTTTCCCGTCAATAGCCTCGCCTGCTGTACTGCCTGCCGGATAACGCCTTTTCAGTTCGAGGTCTACCTGAAGATGTTCAGAACAGGCAGTGTTCCCACTGGAAAGGATATGCTAGACCCTGGGCCCTGGATTACAGTTGGCAAGTGTGGTTTCTTGCTTACGTATGTTTAGAACCTTACTTAATTACAGTTTTTACTTTTTCATTAAATCTGGTAACATTCTGAGGGACTCTGAACCCAACTATAAATCGTCTGGACTGAAGCACGGTACATAACACTAGGCAGGAAGAATGTCTTTCTTTATATCTGATCTTTATATCATGAGAACATGTTCTCCCTGGCACTGTCATCCTGATTTTGAGAGATCTAAATTGTCAGAAAGCAACAATGCTAAATGCTAATTATATCAAAATGAATTTGTTTAGTACGCTTCATGCAAAATGTTAGTTTTGTCAGCTGTGAAGTTGTTTGCTGAAAGCAACCTATTAAAAGAAAACACAAAGCTCTGTATTACATCGTGGCATTACCAATGGCAGTGTGTAACTTAGCATTGTGGTGCGTCTCAGCCTTGACCTTGAGAATAAAAGCTTCCTGATGGAAAGAGTTTCACAAGCTGTGTATTACATTTTGTCACTGGTTCAGCCACTGATAACTGTGATCACCTGTCTTGGTGCGTGCTGCTTGTCAAGGTGTATTCTGAAATGAAAGGTTTATTTTGGAGATGTTCAGCTACTAATAGAAGTCTTAGATGTATGAGACGCTGATAGTGTGTATCGCACCGTACTGTGGTGTGACATACGTAATGAAGACTTTGTTCTGGGTTACTTGCTGTGATGGCTTAGTCTAAATTATATTCAGTTCTTCGCAGCTTTCTGGAGTAGCATTTTATAGTTGATGTTGTTTTTCTATTCAGAACCTACAAAAAATTGTAAAATAGCTGTAGACGCTCATTTGTCTCTTTGTTTGATTTCTGTAGAAACATATCTGTAACTAAGTTAACATCTTGTTTGTGTTCGTGCTCTATAGTTATTCAGGGAATATAAGACGTGTTTTGGATTTTTTTCTTCTTGCAGGGTCTCCCTTGAAAGACGGTGTTCTAATTAAGCAGGCGCTCAAACTCCTTTACAGCAATGTGTCGCTCTACAGGAATGTGAGTCTGTATTAAAACTGTGTTTCTGGGGTCCATTGAGTGTTTCTCTGTATTACCCGTTCTGTCCAGTTACTTCTCTAATGCAAGGATTTACTATCAGAACTCTTTTCTCTCTGAATATTTCACACCTCTCTGAACTGTTTTAACTTTGTAAACAAATGTTCTGCTATGTTTCAGCCTAAATGCTGGAGTTCCCTCATCATGATTTTGGGTAGTAGCAGTTTGCTGGAAAAAAGTGGACACCTACATCCCCTGTCCCTGAAAGAACCACCACTTGACTTCCAAAAGGTAACTGAAACAATACTGTGAGATGAGATGCATTTGATGTGGGCATTGGCTCGTTCTTCTAAATACTAAGGTTAACTTTACAGTGCCTCATCAAATAGTCTTGTGGTATGTGCCAAATGTAACACTTTGCAGAATGTTGTGATTCGGGAGTGTTAAATGCAACAGTAAACAGATCAACTCTGCCTGAAGATCAGTGCCTAATACTGATTCTGTATCTTTTAATGTTGAGATGGATCAGATAACAAAATGGATAGGAAAGCAGTTTAAGAAAAATGTGTTCAGATAATCCTAAAGAGTCAGTATCTGGGTATTTTCTTCACAAGAACAGAAATAACTGTCTGCTAAGCACAGCAGGTTAAAATGAAGAGGTTATGCAATATGGTTCGGCTAGTGCTGTAGAGCCTCAACTTTCCTTGAGTATGATGTTGAACAGCCAACCTCATCTGTAAAAATGCTGAAAAAAATAAGTGAAAGCACATTAAAAAACCATCTTGGGCACTCTTTGTAGGGTGTCTGGATACCCTTCCTCTTTACTTGTAACTGATTACTTCTGTTGCAGGGAGTGCTCGCTGCCAGCGGTGGCCTTTTGGAGGAACTGAAGGCAAAAATTAATGTTTCTTTACCACCTGCTATTTTCTCTCCTCATGTAAGTGTGCACATGGCAACAAGGACACTTACCATTTGTTTTATTGTGCTTGAAGATACCGTAGTATTGAAAACAGTTGGATTATTATGAAAAGCTTTTAAGAGGGGGTTTGATTTTTTGAGGGAATCGGCATAAGACTGTTCTTAGCACGGTCTAAAGGCTAGAGCAGATATCTGAAGGTAGGAAAACTATTAGGGTCTGTTCTGGTCTGACACCATCTTCAACCTAGGACAAGTCTTACTACATCTCTGTCCAAATGTACGCATTTATAAAGCGTGAGGGTTGGTAATAATTGATTCTGTCTTAACTTCTCACAGGGTAATCTTGTGTTGTTTGACTCTAACTGGAGACTATCCTTTGAGACTTGACAGCGTGTTTGGCTCAAAACTCGGCATAGCTCAGAATTTCTAAACTTGTTTTGAATGATGGTTTCAAGTGTAGTGGAACATGCTTTAAAGATGGCTTGAAATGTATTCTGTATTAAATACGGTCGATATATCTAAGGAGCTGTCTTATTCTTTTTTACTTCTTCTGAGGAAATTACGTTTAGCTTACTCTCCAAGTATGTGACTCCTGGGCCAGAATTTTTTTCCCCTTAATTGTACTTCTGTTTCTGTGACGGTGTGAGACTTCATGTTTCTGTAAGGACTTTGAGAGAACCAGGTGAAATGTGCTATATAACAAAAGTACCTGTTTTCTTCCCCCTTCTTTTGGTCTTCATAAGATTCTTATGGATGTCGTGTCTGACATCCAACCTGTCTGATTGGAAGGGTAGTAACTTAGTGCTGATTTGACTGGATGCGATATACAAGTAGTGGGAAAGCAGGCTTTTAAATATATGTCGTCTGTTGATATCTCTTCCTGTAGTTGCACCATGAGGCTTGTCTTATTCTCGCAGTGCAAGCAGTACAACAGATGCTTTTTTGTGATCTTCCGTACTTGACTTCCTTCTTAGAGATAGCCCTGGCTTTTGGGGTGAGTCCTAGATATTGATTTCTCTTCTAAGAGATTAAAGCAAATTATATTTAAAACCTGTGTAACACCAACTTGGAGATCTTAGACACATTCAACTTGCGTTTGTTCCCCTTTACCTTTGCTGACCTTTAATTTATTCTGTTTTTTAAGAAATGTTTGGCAATTAGGTTAAATCACTGGTCTCATTTTGTCTCTTTCTAGAATAACTTCTGGGCTCTGAGGCTGTTATTGGACCATCTTTCCTACGAAGAACATGTTCTCCATGGCACTGTCAACCTGATTTTGAGAGATCTAAATTGTCAGAAAGCCACAATGCTAAAACTGTGAGTAAACGCCTGCTCCCTGAAGCCTCTCTGTTTATGGAAACAGTAAGAGCAGTCCCATAGCAGTAACGTTTAGCAGAAATATAATCCTTAGCTCTTTGAAACCAGCCAGCCCAGTGCTTTGGGTAAGTCAAGAATGCAAATAAGATGCTAGGAATCAATAGGAAAGTTGTCTCTGTTGAACAGCTGTGTTCTGTTTCCTGGCTTTATATTGCTTAGGTGGCAAAACCTTGGTCCCCAGTACGTGGGTGAATTCCTTTGCCTATTCCTGACGTGCAGACATAAGAAGATGCAATCCATTGGCCTGTTCACGCTGAATATTATCACAGAGAACCTGCATATGTAAGTGGGAATCTTCATCATAGCCAAATAGAAAATCATTATGTGTTGCAACGCTGAGGGTAGTTTTCTCTTAACAGTCTTAACTCACAATTCATTCCTGTTTATAATTCTTCCCTGTTGTTAGCAATGGTAGAGATACTGAACACGATGTTTTGGGTAGATTTGAAATTGTTCTATATTACCTGTTGCAACCAAATGGCCTTCAGGCTTCCCAGTGCCCAGTGTTAGGAAAAACATGTTATCTGCTCTTGGCAACCCTGACCAGTCATTGTGATTACATATGCTACAGCCTAATTCTATTACTTAAATATCATTGTCATCAACAACAACCAAAAAACGTTAATTAGGACTTACAGCAAAGTAGTTACTGGACTCTAAGGAGGCATAATACTGCACAGAACTTTCTTTAGAGAAAATAGTTAAAAGTAGCTCAAAATGTGTATTATTGTATATCTACAAGAATACAATGAGTGTACAGGTGACAAGGTTTCTTTTAAATGTGTAAGAAATGCTTCACATGGTGGTGAGGGAGTAGATCCCCACCAAAAACTAAAGATTCAGGAACGTAAGTGCACTGTAATGCAAACTGGCGGCAGCATTAAGTTTCTGCCTGTTGTTCTTATCCTCTTTTGAAAAGAAGAGAGACCGCTTGCTCTGCAGCAGCACAAAGCTTCAGTGGGTGGGGAAAAGACTTCTGAAAAAGTCTAAGTACTTTATTTAGATTACAATTTATAAAAAAACCACTGACGTGTCACTTTTGAAACCACTAGCTGTTTATAAGTATAATCCGTGCTCTCCTGTGTTATGCAGTAAAGCATTATAGGCTTTAGAGTGATAGACTTTAATGTATTGACATAATAGTTTTAAAATTAATTAACTCTGTGGTTGTGGACCGGAAGGCAGAGTAATTGCCTGCTCTGGCACTTTTAATTCACACATAGCTGATGGCAGTGGAGTAATGTTGAGAACTCACTTCTTAGTAGCTGTCTTAAGTGGAAATCGTGGATATGTAAGTTGGTCTTTGTGAAAGGCTTCTGTCTGTTTCTTTTCTCCAGCCTTTGCTGTGTGTAGCTGAGAAAATAAAATACCTAATTTCACTTAGCTGCATATGATCTAAGCTGTATTTAACAAACTTGCAGTTCCATTGTCTTTTTTGTTTTGTGAGGCTTTACAGTATGCTCTAGCAGTGATCCAAGAGAATCTGATGAAATCCTTATGGTTTGTCTTAATTATTTTACTGTACATCTGATGCTGAAATCATCTCCATTTGGAAGTTGAAGTGAATTGTTGGAGTAGCCTTCTTGGAAAGCCTTGGTCAATGTGAAACTTGGAGTGGCTGAAACTGGGGGCAGGGGTGTCCCTATGAGAAAATGGATGACGAATCTGTATCTGTTTTTCAGGTGTCCATGGGCAAAGCATCTTTGCAACTTCTTTCACAATGCAGTGAGTATCTCTGTATTTCAGAATTTAACAACAAAGCATACCAATGACAACTATGTTATCAATTAGATATTTAAATGTATCATTTGATGTATCAAGTACATTATAATAAATGACATTGACATATGACATTAATATAAAAATTACTGAAATATACTAACTAATTTTTTTTTCTCTGCCCAGGGATTAAGGCACCTGCCTCTTGGCACCGCAGCTCATCATGAAGTCTCGAAGTTCATAAACATTTTTGAAAAGCTGTAATTTGGCAACATCTTCAGGAATGTTTTTCCAATTTGTCTTAATCTGAGAAATCTCTTCCTGGATTGTTCTGCTTTGGTTGTCATCTCCAAAAACACTCAGCAAAAAAACTGACTTTGGACAAATCCAAAAATGAAATCCTAGCTTAAGATGGGGAGCAGTGGCTGTATTTCAGCAGACGTGTTTTGGAAATTTCCTTTCTTGCAGGTCCATGTGTTAAGCAGTTATTTAAAGAGGTAGTGGGTTTAAGTTTCCTAAAAAGCTGGTCTAGAGAGAGATGCTGATTGGCGGGGGGGATGAGGGGAGAGAAACACGGATGAAGTAGAAAGTCTTTACTTCAGTTGTGTTGCACAGACGCGCTGTGGGCGAGATGTCCGCAGCAGAACGACTGCTGAGAGAGTGAAAGTTTAAAAAAGGAAAGCTGCCTCTCCACAGGTGTACAACAGCATGCATTCAAATGCTGCTTGCACACCCTCTTTTGTTTAGTGTCTAATTATAAAAAATAAACCACTCTTGAGGCTGAAGGACATTAACTGAAGCTTTCTTACTTGCTTCAAGAAACCAGATTCAGAGAGGCCTAATGCAGTAAATAGCTTGTTTTGTTTGTAAATAAATTTTTTAAAAAATCTAGTTTTCAGGGTTTTCCAGTTGTGGGGCTTTGTTTTTATTTTCTACAATAGGTGACTGTTAGACTGGTGCTGATGCCTCTCTGGGTTTCTCAAATCCTTATTATAATGGTAAGTTTAAGAGTTAACTTTTGAACTGTGGAGGTAGAAATAGAGAAATATTTCTAGCCTGGTTTATACTCTTCTTTGCCCTGCTCTGATACCCGTCTGCTTTGGTTTGGCAGTCAGGGGAAGAAAGAAATTGTATATGTGATGAACTGTATTTTGCACATTTAAGGCTTTCAGTGGCTTTTGCAGCTTTTGTTATCCTAAATAAGCTATGCTATTATTCACATTTTCTACAAAAGTGTACATGTATCTAAATCAACACAACGTTAAGTAAAACTGTAGAAATTCTGTCGTTGTCAGTTCTATTTTGGGGTGGGTTTTCTTGTTTGGTTTGGGTTTTTTTGTTTGTGGGGGTTTTTTGGGTGGGGTTTGGTTTGTTGGTTTTGGTTTTGCTTTTTTTTTTTTTCCTTAAAACAGTTGCTGTACCTTTATTTCGTGCTGTCCAAGTTCAGCCAGGACAAGCAGAGGTCAGAGAAGTCCCCCAATACTCAGAATTGGGTTCTGCTGACTGTCAGCAGGGCTGGCCACATGCCGTCTCCTTCTGGTCTGTGCTCCTCAAGATGCACTGCGGTGTTTCGTCCCGCTTTCCAAGAGGTGTTTCTTGCGTCTTCCTAATAACATGATCTTTCTCACCTCATCTACCTGAGTAGTAGAAGGTCCCTGTTCCTGTTATGGCTGAGGGGGAGAAAAAAGAGGGGGAAGGAGGCTGCAAACACTCATCTTTGTAGCCGCTCTGTCTGTGTTCTCTTTCTCAACCTGCAGTCCAGCCTGTGATGCTCTCTGGGCGCTCTCCCAGTAACGCAGAGAGGCTGGGCAGCCCGCTGTGCTGAAGGCTCCTGTTCCCAACTCTCCGAATTTTGTTACTCCTCGTGCCTGCTAGCGCCAGGCTGTTGCATCGTGCTTTGTCACTTTGCTGCAAGTATAAAAAGCCGACAGCAGAACCAAGTAAGCCCCAATATCAGACAAAACTTGGACAGGATGTAGACTTCGTTGTTGCCCTGTTCCGTGCCCCTGCGGGACTGGGCGCAGGAGGGAGAGGGAGCAGGTGAGGGCAGGCGGTTTCTACCCCTTCCAGCCTGGATTTACCATCACAGGGAAAGGCTAGGAACTGCTTATTGACTGTAAGTAAATAGCGTATCTATTCATTATTCATCTACTTCTGAATTTTAATGAATTCTAACAGCCCTTATAGTGAGGATTATACATAAAAGATCATGTCGTTATCTATAGTATGAGAAGAAGACTTTCTCTGAAGATCTGCACTTGACTTTGGGCGTAGGTTGGATAGACAGGTATAGTCATTATGATCGACCACAGTAGAAAACATCTTCCCGGCACCCTGAGACTATGACTAGTATAACCCCAAAGGTAAACTGAAGGCTGATCTTGTCTGCTTTGTGCCAGGTACAACTGAGATGAGCAGAGCTTATTAAAAATTGAAATGCGTAGTTTGGAGAGGGAAATGGGCACCTCAAGCTGTGTCATCTAAATATTCTATTTTAGCGAAGGGAACTGCTGTTTTAGCAAGTGTGTGTACAGCTGATACGGCCAAACAAGAAATAGAACATTTGCGAGTAAGTGCCTGTATTGAAAATAAAATTTCATCTGCAAATAGTGAAGCAGGTTTATTGTTCTTGAAGTCTGGAATGGGAATAACATCATCTAGCCCAGGAGCATAATGTACCCGGGGGCCAAGGGGCTGCTTGGTTGTGGTCAGCACTTAACAGACCTGTTCATCACCATTGATTTGGGATAGGGTTTCTGAAGTACACTGCTAATAAACTCATTGTTTACGGGCCAGAGGGGGGAATTCTCAGTGAAATATTTAAGAACAAATGGCGTGGTCTAGTGCTGCCAGTAAACCTGTGTGGCTCTTCCACCTCTGCTCGAGGGCCGGAATGGTGATGCATGTCCAAGCTGGTTATGCCTGGACATGGCAGCTGAGCTCTTAGAATCATGGAATTGTTTAGGTTGGAAAAGACCTTTCAGATCATCCAGTCCAACCATTAACCCAACACTGCCAAGTCCACCATTTAAGGGGAGAGGAATAATTTCATGTTTCCTGGCTTGCTGGCTGGATTATTTATAAATAAAGTAAAAACTGGGAATCACTAAGGTTGGAAAGGATCTCTGAGATCATCAGTCCAACCATCAACCCAACCCCACCATGCCCACTAAACCATGTCCCCAAGTGCCACCTCTGCCCGTTTTTTGACACCCCCCCCAGGGATGGGGACTCCCCCACCTCTCTGGGCAGCCTGTTCCAATGCTTGACCACCCTTTCCGTGAAGAAACTCTTTCCATGAAAAAATTTTTCCTACTATCCAATCTTGCTGGGTCTGAACAGAGAACTGGAAGCATGAAGCAGGCAGCCTCACCATCTCAGCAATGTGGGCCGTGGTGGATTTGTATGATAAAACTGTCAGTGAAGTTCATGGCCACGGCGCCGAGGGTGATGTACGGGGCCAGCCCCAAACGCGCTGCCTCTGCCCGCGCTACGCTTCCCAACCTCTGCCGAGTGGGCTGGGTAGCGTGCTGATACCATTTCTACCAAGGACGCTAATTAAC